GTATTCAGTAGTAAAGCTGATTTAAGGTTGCTGGTTAACTCATAATGAGTATGTCTATAGAGTTATCAGCTGTAAATAGAAAACTTTTATTCTGCTTGTGTTTACTAAAAATCAAATAAGGTCATGGTATCACTGTTGCACTTGCCCAGGAGAAAAAGAAACCTTAGAATAATTGTTGATTTTACCTAATGCCTCATGAAGTTTTAGGGGCAGTCTGAGTATAATCGTTAAAAACAAGTAAATTAAATTGATGTAACTATGATAAAATAATGAGCAGAGATTTATCTGTTTTTGTCCTATTATAGAGATACTAAAGATACATTTGGGTCTGTTAATAAACAGATTTCTTGCTTGTATTATGATTGTATTATGCAAAAGCACATGTTTCTAAAAATTCCAAAATATATTCATTAACTTGCAAATCTAAAGAACTCTGGTGAACAGGATTCAAAGTTGCTTACTTCTCAGTTTTTACTGAAAATTGGGGTTTCTAGCATTAAGAATTCTAATAAATCTGATTAAGACTACTAGAAATAATAAGGGAAACAACTTTGTATATGAAGAAAATAAGGCATTGTTTTGGTAAGAGAAAATATGAAGAATAAAAAGACGTATTTGTTGAGGGAACAGAAATTAATTTCGTCCTAAAGTGAGACCATTTCTTTCAAGAGGAAACATTTAAGACAAAATTTGAAAGTAAAAAAGAAAGCTCCAGTTTATGAAGAAAGAATATTTGGAAAGAAATTTTATGTGTGGCCAATACTGGCTACGATTATGATTAATTCAAAGAAATAAATGAATTTTAAAATCAAAAGTGCACTGGCGCAAAGGTTTTGTTTTCTCTTTATAAAAAGTACAGAGTTGGTCTAATCTCCATAAGAAATTATAAGCAAAACTATCTTTTTAAGTTATCTGCCTAAAAACCATGATTCTGGTGACCAAAATAATTTCCCATATTTATCAATCTTGGATACTTAAGAAAACTAGTGATTCTGAATATCCAAGGAGTTACATTTTGCTCTCACAGCTATGTAACCTTCTATATTTGCCTTGACTACCTTTTATTGTGATGTTAGTTGAAAGGATAATTAAATATTCTTTTTTTTTTTATTTCTAGGAGAGAGAGAGAGACAGCGTGAGCAGGGGAGGGTCAGAGAGAGAGGGATTCACAGACTGAAACAGGCTCCAGGCTCTGAGCTGGCAGTCAGCACAGAGCCCGACGCGGGGCTTGAACCCACGAACTGCGAGA